CCCCAAAACCCCAAAACCCCAAAACCCCAACATAAAAATCTTATATTGAAATTAATAACTTTTTAAGCCTTGTTCGAGACCTTATTCTGACCCTGACTTTTTAGGGATTTCTTCGAGAATTTTGTCTTTAGGGTTTTCATTACCTGAGCTAAGGTGTGCCACTGAGCTCGAGGGCTGTGGAGGTTCAGAGATATGAGGATTTTGATGGTTTAAAGATGTGCTGGCTGGCTTTTGTAGAGATAGGCTTTCTATTGAAGAAGATGAGGTGGATACAGGCTGATTTTGCCGTGCTTCTTCTTCCTCATCATCTTCAAAAGCTGATCGTTCTAAATCAGGATCAGTAGATATTTCAGAGGCTAAGGGTTCATTTCTTTTGGGCTTAGTTTGGATATAATGGAATATCATTAAAGTGAGGATACACATCATTATGTATATGAAATAGGTTCACATCATTTGCACTAGAGTCAGAGAACCTCCTTCTGTACCTTGAATAAATGAATCTTTCGCTTTCTCAGCAGCTTTTGAGTTTGATTTAATCTGTCCATTTGGTTTATCTTTCTTCAAAATTTTGTTTTTTTTATTACAGATATTTTTCTTCTGCTTAGACCTAGATTTGGATGCACTTTTTGAGCCTTTCCTTTTATTACGTCTCTTCCTAAACTTTCTTTTCTTTCTGATAGAAGCGGGGTTCTTATTATCTGCTTCCTCTGGATGCTCAATAAGTCCTTGCATTTCAAGGATGTCAAAGAACGTGATCATTTCGCCTCTTCTCTCGCTAAAGCCGTTGGGTTTCTTTATGGCTGAGCTGCTTTTCTTACGCTTTCTGGGGTTTCATAGTGGCACTTTTAGCCGACTTCGGTTTGAACTGAAGATAGTGCAGATATCTTCAATTCAATGTCTGTAATCTTTCCTTTTGATAGTTTTTGACCGAGTTTTTGAGCCTTTTTGGCCAAAGGATTGGATACCGGTTGTGAAACTCCGATGACCCTGAGCAAACTCTAAGAGTCTATCTCAATACTGGATCGCGGCTCAATCAATCGAGTTATTGCAGAGAAGAAGATTACAGAAATAAGTGCTTATTCTAAAGAGGCGATAGAAGGTCATTTCTTCCATCAGGTTTATAATTAGGCTAAAAAGAAGGCCTTTCTTCTCAAGGTTCTCTCTAAAGGTGATCACAATCTTGGCCAAAAGGTCGCTATTTATAATCTCTTCTTGCATTATGGGATCTCGGAGTTTCATCAGAATCTTCAAAAGCTTAATTATCTCAATTTGAATGAACTTGGGAGCATAGGCATAGATCTTTGATAAGTTCCACACAAAGTTAGTTTTTGCTAACTTTGTGGAAACAAACTGGCTCGGTTGTTTCGAAGAAAATATTAAAGCTACGCATTTTCATATAATATAGCAAGTGTAGTGGTACTCCTCCAAGTTCTTTCAACTCATTCATTCTGGCTGGTCCATGTAAGGAACAAATACCTTAAACAACACTAGGTCCAATAGCATTTCAATGATCAAGTGTTTGTTTGCAGGTTCAATCATTGGACAGAAGCAACCAGCCAAGAAATGGTACACCTGGTCTTTTATATACTCATCCTTTGCATGAAGAAGAATGAAAGCAAGGTTTTCAAAGATTTTCGATCTTCCATAGTTTGAAAAGGTTCTGTATATATGCAGGATCATATGGTTTGGCTCCAACGAACTTATTCCATGAAAGACTTCGAGAGAAAGCTTGACCAATTCACAGATATTATCTGGAATCCGATAATGGGGCTTGTATCATGCCTCCAACACCCTTCTTTGTCTGCTCCTAAAATCATTAAGCCCTCTTAATGTATCTTTACGTCTTTTTTCTAGACGCTTTCAATGAGACAAGGGTGCCTGCAGAAGGTCATCAAGAAGCATGAAGATACCTTCTTCATTTGGAGCAGTGGCAAAGAATTGCCTCCTCAAACCTGGCTCTTGCAAACTTTTGAGAACAGTGGTGATTTCTCTGAAGAACATAACTTTAGCCTTAGTAATTTCATGGGTTTTTGAATCTAAAACATCTTCATAGACTTGGGAGTAGTCGTCCTCTCTAATTGGCTTAATATCTATTATTCTTGAAAAGGTTTTACTATCAGATATAATTTCTCTAGCAAGTTCAAGGCTCTTACAGTATGCTTCCTTTGTCAGAAATGTCATCAAGGTATCATTTACTCCAAAATGCAGAAGTATCTTCTTCAAATAAATCAGCCTATAAACCTGCTTAGTTTGATTCATATACTCCTTCAAGTTGAGTAAGGAAAGGTGTTTGTATCTCTCAGGGTCATCTATTTCTTTTCTGTATTCAGCAAGGAATCCTCTCCCATTAGGGTTGTACTCAAGTGCTCCAAACAAAAGACGGTAATTTAAATTATCGAGGAGTCTACATACCAAATGCTTGTCGCATAGTTTTAAGAGTAAGACAAAGAACTCACATAACAACTCAAGGTCTACTATGTTCTCCTCTATATCATATTCTAAGCTTTTGAACAAGTTTCTAGCAGATCGCAGGTAGTCATCTTCATAGCATTTGAAGAGTCTAATAAATCTCTTCTTATCTTCAGCAACATGCTTCTTGATTAAATGATTAATTGAGTATAGATTGCCTTTAGATGGGATAGGTATCGGTGGAGGGTTTTCTCTATTCAAAGGATTCTTATCAAGGTCATAAAAGTCTTCAATACTATAAGTCTGAGTAGAAGATAGATCAAGAGGAAGTTTGGTTTGAGAACAAGAGTCTTCCTCAACCTCTTCATCACTACTCCCCTTCTCCTGAAACATTTCCGTCTGTTCCTCCCCATCCTCCCTAAAATACCCACTCCCCCATCCACTCAACGGCATAAACATCTTCCTCCTCACCTCCTCCACACTCGGAATACCATCCATCCTCTCCAAGACCCTATCCAACCCCTTCGGCTGTCCCCACCCATACTCATCCTCCACTATATCCTCTCCCTCATCTCTCCCAACCTGACTCACTCTGTGATAAAACTTCTTGGCAGTCTCTTCCTCACTGAACCAGAGACCTAGTCTCTTATAGCCGTCCTCCCACTTCACGGCTAGCCTAGCTAGGCTAGAAGCCTAGCTTAGCCGTGTGGGACTGGTACATGAGGCGGTGGTCCTGGTCGAGGATGTGGAAGGCATGGCTTGGGAAGGAAGGGAGGCAGAGGAGCGAGGGGAGGAGCTGGGCGGAGTGAGGGGTGCAAGTGGAGTAGAGGATGGGGAGAGGGCTGGGGTGTAGGCATAGGGGGTCTGGGAGGGGAGATAGGGGTGGTTTATGAGGGTCTTTTTGAGAATTTTGCATTTTTTGTAATGGGTGGTTTTGAGGGGTTTTAAGGGCTAGAGAGGGGAAATGGCGAATTTATGGAAGTGGGCGATTTTGGAGTAAAAAATTGATTTTGGAGGATTTTATGGGAGATTGGGGGTTTAGAAAGATAAAAAATGGCTATGCTGGGATAATATTCACAGATATTTGTCTTTGAGTAACTCTTAATTTCTTTAAAACATCATAAATATTCTATGTTAATAAAGCAATTCAATCTTTAATACAACCCCAGGGGTTTTGGGGTTTTGGGGTTTTGGGG